CCTGTGAGTTGCCTAAGAAGAAAATGAAAATTGATTCAATTTCTACTTCCTGTGAGGTGGAGGAGACCAGCCCTAATTAGTCCCAAGGGTCTAAATGAAATTATGTGTGTGGAACTGTAAAGGTTTGGGAGGACCCTCTACAGTTTCCCAATTGCGAGAAGCTATTAAAGCTCACCTCCCAGATTTAGTTTTCCTTTCTGAAGTCAAGAAAAAAGAAAAATTTGTTTCCACTGTTTGTAAAAAGCTTAAGCTAGACAACAGGTGGATGTATATTAATCCTAATGGCACTAAGAGTGGATTATTGTTGTTTTGGTCTTGTAAGATAACTATTCTAGATGCTCTTTGTTTTGATTTTGCTATAGGTGTCAAATTTTCTTCCTCTAGTAGTGATCTCATCCAGTGGGGTACTTTTGTATACTCTAGTACTGACTCTGAGATTATGAAAAGTCAGTAGGACTTATTAACTAATCTTAAAGAGCAGTGGGGTGATGTCTGGTTTTTATGTGGTGACTTTAATGATATTTTGTTTACCCAAGATAAGTCAGGGAGTAGAGTTAGGGAAGAGATTAGCTTCCAGCCTTTTACGGAATTTGTTTCTGTCATGGAGATGAGTGAGACCAAAACTATTGGTCATCACTATACTTGGTCAAATTTAAGGCAAGGGGTTGACTTTATTGAGGCCAAGTTAGACAGATTTTTCTCTTCTCAGAGCTGGCTACAACATTTCCCTAATGCTGTTGTTAATCACCTTTTTCTCTTATTTCTTCTGACCACAGTATGCTTATATTGGGGTGTGATTGTACCTGGAATTTTAAACCCAAAAGATTTGTGTTTGATGCTAGATGGATTAAGATGGAGGGTTTTAAGAATATTGTTGAGAATGCCTGGAATCTTCCAGTGAATGGGCCTTTATTATTTAGCATTCAAAGTAGAATTAGACATGTCGGGATGGCTATCCTCAGTTGGAATAAGAATCTGAATTCTAATTCTGCTAAACAGATTGAAAAATGTAAATTGGCCCTTCAGAATTTGGAATTGTTAGGGGGTGAGAGAGATTGGGGGAATGGAATTCAGTGAAAATCAGTCACACCAGGCTTATGTAGAAGAGGAAAGTTATTGGCATCAAAAAATCTAGGGTTTAATGGTTAAAAGAAGGTGATAAGAATACAAAGTACTTTCATGCTTCAGTTCATAATAGAAGGAAAGTGGGTAGTCTTGATAATCTGGTTAACTCTAGTGGTAGAAGGTGCTCTAATGACCAGGAAATTGCTTGTGTAATTCAAGAGTATTTTCAGAATTTATTCTGCTCCTCTCAACCTAACCTGGATGCTTGTGATTTGAATGGAATTCCTGTTTCTATAACTGCTGAGACGATTTGTAAGCTGACTTGTGTTGTGGCAATCCAGGAAATGGAACCTTCCAATGCCCCGGGTATAGATGGCATGACCATTCTTTTCTTCCAATTTTGTTGGACCATTGTTAAGAGTCATCTTTGTGTAGCTATCTCTAATTCTTTTGAAGCTCGTCAAATGCCCAAAGGGATAAACCATACTGTCATCAACCTCATACCCCCAAAAAAACCAATCCTACCTTGGTTGCTGATTTCAGACCTATTGCTTTGTGTAATGTCATTTATAAAATCATATCCAAAGTCATTGCAAATAGGCTGAAGTTAGTCTTGAACCCTTGCATTCATGATTCTTAGGCAGCTTTTGTGCCTTGGAAACAAATTCTTGATAGTGTTGTCTTGGCTAATCAATGTCTCCATTATATTAACAACAAAAGAAAAGATTCAAAACACTTAATGGCTATCAAATTAGATATGACCAAAGCATATGACAGAGTTGAATGACCTTTTTTTATTAGGGTCTGTAGGAAGATGGGATTTGTTGATTCTTTTGTGTCTTTGGTGTTGGTTTGTCTTAATACTGTTTCTTATTCTTTCAATGTCAATGGCCAACCTCTTGGTTTTGTTAAACCCACTAGGGGTATTAGACAGGGAGATCCCATCTCTCCCTATTTTTTCATTATCTTATCAGAGGCTCTGTCTAATTTAATTCAACAAGCTTGTGCTTTGTCTCTCTATGCGGGTCTTAAAATTAGTAGGTTTTCTCCCCCTGTTTCTCATCTTTTGTTTGCAGATGACACTATCTTGTTCTGTCATGCTGGTGTGTACCATGCTAAGCTTGTTTTGCATCTTCTGAATTGTTATGGGTCTGCCTCTGGACAATGTGTTAATATAAATAAATCTTCTGTTCTTTTCTCTTTGAACACCCTGATAGTGCCAAAATGAGAATCTGTAATCTACTGAATGGTATCCTTTGTTAGATCTACCAAATACCTAGGGCACCCCCTAGGTATTGGTAGGTCTAAGAGAGAAACATTCAAGTTTGTTCATGAATGTGTTCTTAACAGGCTCTCATGTTGGACTAATAATTTTTTTAGTACTGCTGGGAGGGAGGTTCTCATCAAGTCTGTGCTTGATGCCGTCCCTACATATGTAATGTCCTTTTTCAATTACCTGTGAGTGTATATAAAGATATTAGCAGGGCAGTGGCAAACTTTTGGTGGGGTTCTAATGAGTAGGGGAAGAACAAAACTCACTGGGCTGCGTGGGATGCTTTGGTTAAATCTAAAAAGTGGGGTGGGTTGGGTTTTAGGAACTTGAGGCTTTTTAATGTTGCCTTACTGGTTAAACAGTTATGAAGAATCTTAACTCATCCAACTTGTTAATCAGTAGGGTTCTTAGAGGTAGATACTTCCATAGAGTTAATTTGCTTGAGGTGAGTCCCAAATGTGGGGATTCCTGGTTGTGGAAGAGCTGGGTAGGGGTTTTAAACTTTCTGAAAATGGGAATCAGATTTAAAGTAGGGAATGGCAAAACATCTCTATTTGGGAGCACCCCTGGCTACCCAAAGAGTTGAACCCAATACCTTATTGTTCTTTTTCTCAGGATAGAAATAATATCAGGTGGGTGAGTGACCTTGTGAATCAGAAGAGTGGGGGTTGGGACAGAGAGTTAGTGAGACAAACCTTCATGCCAGAGGAAGCTGATTGTATTCTTAAGATTCCTATTTCTTTGGTGGGAAAAAATGATAGAATTATTTGGCTGTTTGGGAAATATGGGAACTTCAGTGTCAAATCAGCTTATGAGGCATTTGTGTCTCAACTATGGCTGAGTAAGGGGATGGCTAGTTCAAGTAGGGGTTCTAATATGGAGAGTCAAGTGTGGAATGTAACCTGGAAATTACCACTGAAATCAAAAATTAAACATTTCCTCTGGAAATGTTAGTTCAGATACATGCACACTAATGACTAAATGCTTAGAAGAAACCTGACTGAGGACAATACTTGTCAAATGTGTGGTTTGGCAGCTGAGGACATTGATCATATTTTATTTAATTGCACTAGAGCTAGGATTGTCTGTAAGCTGAGTGGAGTGAACTGGGACTATCTTAATATGCAAACCAACTCATTTAGAGACTGGTGGAGTCAAATATGCAGTGCCCCTCAAGTAATAAGTCTTAGAGATAGAGCCAGCCTTTCATCTGATATTCTATGGTGGCTCTGGAAAACAAGGAATCTTTGGATGTTTCAAAAATCTAAAGTGTGAGAAGCAAATTGCTGAGGGAGCAAGAGAGGAATGGCTTGAGTTCTCAGCAGCTCAGGGCAAGGACTCAAGGAATAATATGCCAAGCTCTCTGAATCCAATTGAGCAAGATGAGGAATTTTCCCAGAAGGTAAGTCATTGGATTCTCAATGTCAGTGCCTTAGCCTCTTCTAAAAATCAATTAGAATTAATATGTGAAGCTGAAATGGAGGGAGAGGAGAAACAAAAGTGGACAGATAGAATATGGTACAATGGCTGTGTAGAAGGAAAAGATCTATGAGTAGCAAGATGGGCTATAATGAAAGCTATTCAGAATGGGTGGCAACAATGCAGATGCAGATTAAAAAAAAAAAGGTCTTGTAAAGAAGCTTAACATGCAGAAGCAGGAATTTGAACATTGCTGTAGCACTATTGCAGCAGACATACTTGACCTGAAATCTTCTTTCTCTTCATTCAGCTTTTTGTATGATTTGTAAGGATTCTTGTATTTTGCTTTTCATGTTGTACTGAAGAGGTACAGTTAGACACCTCTGAAATGTTATAGCTATCATTTGGTAGCTCGGATGTAAAACTTTGTTGGGTTTAATATAAATTAAAGTCGTTTGNNNCTGGTTCTTTTGGCGCTTGAACAAGGGAAACCCAAATAATTTTCAATTATTCTTCACTAATTATTTTTTTAACTCAACATCTAATTTAGATTTTACTCAACTACAATATTATCAATATAATTAAATAATACAAACAATTATCCATACAGATCATATCATCTTTAATTCACTGTTCATCATTCACATAATTTTAACTAATCATACATCTCTCATACAGTCACATCAAATCAACTTTTAATTTAAATATTATTTTAATATAAATTCAATTTTTCTATCAAACCTAAAACAATTAATTTTTTCAAATTTAACTTTGATAAATAAAAAAATAAATTAAAATGAAAATATCCAATCATAAACTTATATCCAAGCGGAATGCGTTTGCCTTCTATTACTTCACTGCGCTTCGCTTCGTTCGTTGTGGAGCAATTATTGATAAATTTTAACCATTCCATCAAATTTTAATGCTTCGAATCATCGAATGGTCGAGAGACATTATTGTATTTCACCATTTTTATGGACATCACAAGCAAATTACATGTGGTTTCTCGTTTCAGTTGTCAATTTGTCATTCATTGCAGTACAACACTAATATTACCCTACCAACTCGTTGAGAAGAAAATTCTCCAGATTTTTTTTTTCGGTTTCTTTAACATATTAAAAGTGACCTCCAAAATACTCAAGGTTATGATTTTTTTTCAGNTTTTTCCGGTTTCGGTTTATATTAAAATTATGATTTTCCTTACAATAAAATTAAAGTATTTTTGTACTTGTGAAGCATTTCAGTGGAATAGAATAACTTTAATAATTATCTGGCTTCAGTTAAGAACTTTTAAATGTCTGAGTGTGAATATTAATTAGCAGTTAATGCGAGCAAATATGAAGATGAATTCTGAGGCTGAAAAAACTAAACCAGATAAACATGAGCAAATGAAACAAAAAAGGGAAAAAATGCAAAAACTGACATCAAAATGTACCATCAACCCAGATAAATCAAAAACTGACATCAAAATCCTTTAAAGGTTTTCTTTTTTTCTTTTATTGTTCTTCTCAATTCAGCCCAAAATCAAGAAACTCATCTCTCTGTGTCAAGACCGACAGTATCCGGACTGCATCTAATCTAAAATTTGCTGCAACCCACAAAGATTCCCTTACTTTTTCTCTCTCTAGGCTTTCTTGATTTCTTCACCGAGTGGGTTTTGGTACAATAATGTTGATGGGTCAAACGTAGCAGCAGACAGAAAAAAGAAGAGCATGTTGTAATAAGGAGAAAAGAAGAAAAAAAATAAAAAAATAGCACAGTACAATTTTTGCTCCAGGGTCATGGACGACGGTGAAATCTCTGTTCCTTGCTCTTTTCTTTGTTTGTGCTTTTGATTTTTCATACAGATCATGATAGAGCTGTGTTTTTTTATGTGCATTTCATTGTTTGGCT